AACCATTAATAACTACTCTCTGAGTACAGTTATCCAGCCAGGTATGCACCCACCTTATAGTAGCCCCATCTAAGTTGTATTTACCTAGTTTATTGATAAGAAGATCATGCGAGACCGTATCAAACGCCTTACTACAGTCTAGGTATACCACATCCACCACTTCTCCCTTATCCACAAGACTCGTTATCCTATTAAAGAAAGCTATCAGATTGGTTTGACATGATGCTAGCTGTTCCCTATCACGTTGCCACTTTCCAAGTGTTTACAGATGATTTCCTTAATTACTTGCTCCATTATCTTCCCTGGCACAGAAGTTAAACTGACCGGTCTGCAGTTTCCTGGGTTGTTCTTATTTCCCTTTTTATAGATGCCCTATATTTGCCCTTTTCCAGTCCTCTGGAATCTCTCCTGTCTCCCATGATTTTCCATAGATGATAGCTAGAGGGCTCAGATACCTCCTCTATCAGCTCCTTGAGTATTCTAGGATGCATTTCATCAAGCCCTGGTGACGTGCAGGCATCTAACTTTTCTAGGTCATTTTTAACTTGTTCTTTTTTTATTTTGCCTTCTAAAATTACCCCCTTCCCACTAGCATTCACTATGTTAGGCATTCCTACAGACTTCTCGGTGAAGACCGAAACAAAGAAGTCATTGAGCATCTCTGCCATTTCCAAGTTTCCTATTACTGTTTCTCCCTCTTCACTGACCAGTGGGCTTACCCTCTCCTTGGTCTTCTTCTTGCTTCTAATGTATTTATAAAAAGTCTTCTTGTTTCCCTTTATTCCAGTAGCTAGTTTGAGCTCATTCTGTGCCTTTGCCTTTTTAATCTTGCCCCTGCATTCCCGTGCTGTTTGCCTATATTCATTCTTTGTAATTTGTCCTACTTTCCATTTTTTATATGACTCCTTTTTTATTTTTAGATCATTCAAGATCTCGTCATTGCCTGGTAGCCTCCTGGGGTTGCTGTGGCTATTTAAAAGGCTCACGGCTCTGGCCCCTCCTGCAGTAACGCTGCAACTGGGAGCTGGGAGCCATTTAAATATGAGCTTGCTGCCTGAGCCACCTCCTGGAAACTTGGTTTCATGGGCAGCAGGATATAAATAGAGAGTGGCCAGATGTAGTCTCAGGGCCGGATCAAAGTGTTAGGTGGACCAGATTTGGCCCTCCAGGCTGCATCTTGCTTAGTCCTGGCTTAGAACAAATAGCAGTGCCTCCTTTCAGCCTGCTAGGAAGATTTTTGAAGGAGACCAATGAGTGAGTTACGCAGGTCCTTAAAACTCTTTTTTCCCATGCTGCCTACAAAAACTTGACTGTGGTTGCCCAGTGGTGTGCTGAGACCACTGCCTGTTATGCTAATATTCATTGTTTCCTTGCACTCCCCTGTTTGTCTGGGTCCATCTGTTAGCTCTTGTCTTATACTTAAGCCTTGCCTGCACTTAAAATTTAGGTCAACATAGCTTCTTCAATTGGAAGGAGGTTGAAAAATCCAACTGCCTGCTGACATAATCTCCAGAGTAGAAACAGGTAGGTGCTTCCGTCAATGTAGCTGCTATTGCTTGGAGGTGGTGTTCATACATCCACGGAAAAACACCTTCCTTGGGTGTAGGTTGCATCTTCACTACTGGATTATGCCAGCATGGCTGTGGTGCGTACTGTAGACAAGGCTTCATTTTGTAAGCTCTTTAGGACAAGGACTGTGTTTGTACAGCTCCTAGCACAACAGGGTTCCGAGCCCCGAGCAGAGTTTGTAATAGGGATGTAAAATCCTGTTTAAAAAGTTAACTGGGATCCTGTGGGTGGGAACTACTCCAGCCAGGCCAGGCCATCGGTCAATCAGTTACCCCAGTAAGCGTGCCACTAAGGCAAATCAGTTAACTGTATAACCCTTTACATTCCTAGTTTCTAAGTGCTATGATAACTCTAATAATAATAATAGACTCGACTACAGTGTGCTGCCAGGGAAGGGATTTTTAGCCAGCTGCCAGGGAAAGGATTTTCAGCTTATCTTCATTTAGCTTCCTCCAGATCTAGCAAGAGAAACTCAAGGCCCAGTTCTCGATCTGTCCTCAGGAGCCCTGACTCCCAGTCTAAACCAGTGTTTCCCAATTTTATTTGGCTACGGAACCTTTCTTCAGATTGAAAAAATTTCAAGGAACCCCTGGGGTTGTCAGGGTAAAATTTGTCGAGCAAAAAAAAAAAAAGACCGGAGTCCTGCTGCAAATTGTTGAGCAAAAAAAAGTCTGTCTCTTTAAGAGGAGGCGAGGGAGTGCCCAGTTCTTGTGGAACTCCAGGGTTCTAAACCAAGCTCCTGCCTCTCTAATCTATAGCTTTGGACTAATAATAGTATATGGTTTCATTGCCATCTCCCTGTCACTGGTTGTGTTGTCTGGTAACAACCAGTGCCCCAATATTCTGCACCACTCAGATATTGTGTATGCCATTATCTACAGCAGGGCTACTCAACTTTGGAAGCCCCGGGGGCCACAATGATACTCACAGCACATGCCGAGGGCCGCAACTTAAGTGTGGTTGCATATGTAAGAAAATATGTATGCAAATAGCTTCTTTCACACTGACAGGCGTGAATGAAAAGAGTAAGGCAAGACTATACAACACACCGGTCCCATTTAAGTCAGTCCTGCTGATACTAATAAAATGCAATATTTACCCGATTTCCACCCATATGACAGCACTTTTAATGAGCAATGACAGTCCAGGAATTTAACTGCTAAAATGCATCTCAACTGAAGACCATTATATTGACTCCTTTTTTGTTTTGGTGCCCACCTATGGGCCATGTGTTGATCCCTGTGTAAACCCAAACTGCACCACGGGCCACAAACAAACGGGCCACATGTTGAGTAGCCCTGATCTACAGTTAGAGCCGAATGTATTATTCAATAGCCAAGTGAGTAATTCTCTGCGTGAAGCCCTCATTAGAGATATTCTTTTTCACTCTAAATAGTACAGGCATCTCTTTTACTTATCAGGCTGGGCAGGAAGAATGTGCGTTGGTGTTGTCAGAATGGGGTGAGGCTTTCATTAGGCTAAATATTGATCCAAATCCCAAAGCCCTGAGTAAGGAGAAAATGGCATTTAAGGAGTTAGTCCACTTTTAACAGAACCCTATTGAGCATGCTCAGAAGTCGTTGGGTTTTTTTGGGTCACTTGTCACGTTAATATTAATAACTCAGTTTATCCCATGGTTGCAAGGCAAGGGGGGTGGGGGGGAAACCTCAATGAGCATTGTGTAAAAATTCAGCTGGGCTTTGAGTAATTGAGTAAGGAGGGAAATGTGGCTGCTGTGTCTGATTGTTTGTCTTCTTCCCCAACCTGACTGCTATCAATGGCTGAACGGAAGTGCCAAACAAACAAAATTTGGGTGAGACCAAGGCTAACAAGTGTCAGCCCTTCAGCTTTTTGGATAGTTTTGGCAAATCAAAAAGTAGCATGGGAAGGTTATAATGACAACTGATTTTCAACTTTGACTTATAGCATTTACTATTTAGCAAACAGCATAATGAATAGCTGACTGTCTCTCTGGCTACATCTAAACTACACCCTTCTGTTGGCACAAGGATGTAAATGAAGCTCTTCAAAAGTGCAAATGAAGCGGGGATTTAAATATCCTGCGCTTCATTTGCAAAATTGCGTCATGGCACTGTTTCTAACAAACGCCATTTCAAAACTGAAAGAGCAGTTTAGACACGTTTTTTTTCGACAATGGGGTGATTTTTTGAAAGAGTACAGGATCAGGAGTACAGGATCTTTCAAAAAATTGCCCCATTGTCCAAAAAAAGCATCTAAACTGTGGTTTCAGTTTCAAAATGGCGCCTGTTTGAAACGGGATATTTAAATCCCCGCTTCATTTGCACTTTCAAAGTGCTTCATTTACATCCCTCTGCCAACAGAGGGGTGTAGTTTAGACACACCCTCTGATGGAACCATCAAAGGAATGTTCACACTGTTAAAGTTCTGTATTCTCTTCCTGGTAAAATTATCAGTGAATGTGTAAGTAAATGGAGTTCCACAAGAGGGCATATTGCAAGCAAGAATAGACTAGATATGCTGGGCCTGATTCTATTCTCCCTTATGCCAGCTTTCCCCCTGTGTAACTGAATTGACGGCCATAACTCCTGACTTACACTGTGGCAACCGAGATGAGTTTCTGGCCCACCACTTGCTTTTTAAGACTTCTTTCATTTGGCTGGTTGCATGTTTTCCTAAAAGGCAAAGAATTAAAAACTCTTTAGTGCAGGTGATCTACAGTTAATGTTTTTACATTTAAATTGCATGAAAGCGCATGGCTTTCGTTCATGTCAGTAAGTGGGTATGATTTGCCCAATGAGGGAGCTGAGAGCTGTAACAGGAAAAGTAGGCAATGGACAGGAGTAAGGAAACATGAATCACTGGTGTCCATTATAGCCAATCTGGGATCTAGGTTTGGCTGTCTGGCTAGACTCCTATCCCCGTTGTGGTGCATACTGTGGTTTTATATAGATAGATGGTTGTAAAACGGTTTCTTTTTTTTATAATTGTTTTCCAAAACGTTTGCCTTATGACATGCCTAAATTACATACCTACATTTTGCAAATGGGCAATTGGTAGTAAATGCACAAGCAATTGGTCTTCGGAAAAACTAGCGAAGTTAAACTAGTGCAGAGGTAAGTGTTTTATTCGTAAAATCAATATGAAATAAGCTTTGTGGATTAGATCTCAAGTTTTTATGACAGCGAAGTGGATTATTGTTTTGTGTGAAGACTGGCCTTTGATTATTGCACTTTGCCCTAGCTATTTGTCATGCTGGTTGCTTTTTTTTTTTTTTTTTTAAATCTACCTACTCTCTGTGACTCCCACAGCAGTTGGCAATGTCAGTCTTTTGCACGAGTGCATAATTTAAAATACAAGTAATTCTTGAGCAGGAACCAATTTCCTTTTTTCTGTCTGTCTGGTTTCCTTTCCCATCTTCCCTTACTCCCCCACCTTGTAACCCCCCAAAGGTGATTTTGAAGGATGTGGATTCTCTTCTTTATGTGGACACTGACGTTCTCTTCCTGAGGCCCATTGATGACATCTGGAGCTTTCTGAAAGAGTTCAACTCCACACAGCTGGCTGCAATGGCCCCGGAGCATGAAATACCAAAGATTGGCTGGTATAGTCGATTTGCTCGCCACCCTTACTATGGAACAACTGGAGTCAATTCTGGAGTCATGCTGATGAATTTAACCCGGATAAGAAACACAAAGTTCAAGGTGAAAACTCTTTCAGGGCACCTATGCTTGCATAAATCAACTTGTATAGTATGGAATTAAAGGATGCTGGACACACTTTGTCAGAACCAAGCTTTTAGAAAAACTGATACACATTAAACCTCCCTAGTCTGGCACACTGGTCTGGCAACTTCCGTGGTCCAGCATGATTTTAGTTAGCCGGATGTCCACTTAACATGGGTGTGGCCAAGTTTCCCGTGGTCTCATACATTTGTGTATAGACACCAGTCCTGGCTTTCAGTGTTCTGTGCTGTTACTTAGCTCCAATTTACCCCCATATGCCTTCTAAGAGCCCCGTAAGCAGTGGAAGTGTTGGTAATGCTGCTAGACAATATTGACCTCTTATGGTTCTGCAAATTCTCTGGTTTGGCACCAGTCAGGTCCTGAGAGTGCCAGACTAGAGAGGTTCAACGTGTAGAAAGGTGTCCTGATATTAAACAACACCAATGAAAATGATTATTTTTAACAAATAAACATTTTCGCCAAAACCAGAGTTTTAAGACCCTGAAAGTTCAGCCGCCTAAAGGCAAAAGGAAATCTGGTATCATTGATTGTGTCTTCTCCCATTGGAGACACATGGAAAAAATAAAGTCAGTGCTGAGCATGCTGGAACTTTAAAAAAAAAAATCTCACTGGTAATGAAATGAGGGCAGCGTGACTGAAATAAGGTGCTTTCTTTGCATTGAATGAGGCCTGCTATTGTGCTCCCTGACACTCCTGCAAATTGCAAGTGGATGTCAGTGGAGCTACTGGAGGAAGCAGGGAGAGCATCGTGCCCGTTGGCTTTGTCCTTTGCATGTCAAAGGACTGGGCCTGTGGAACCGTTATTTACCATGGTGAGCACATGTTCGCCTCACTCCTCTTGTGAGTAAGTGCCTGGCAGTGTGAAGAAATGCAAGGCTCCGGGCATAGCTGTGCCAGCTCATAGGCAGCCCCAGGAACGAATCGTTTCTCCAAAGTTCTGACTGTCCCCTGCTCAGAAAGGGAAGTAAGTTACCTCAGCATTTGGGAAGGTGCCGCAAGCTTCCCCCAACTGGCACATGCTCCCTCTCTGGCCAGTGAGTAGGAAGGCTGGAGCCAGAGCTGTACCCACTCCCACTCTTCTTTTCCCTCTCCCCGGCCTATTACTCTCAAGGGCAAACAGGCCGCGCGCCACGCCAGTCCAATACTCAAGTGGCTTTGCTTCTCTGTTGAGCTGAGTAAGATGAGCGCGGCCCAACCTTCAGTGAGTCCTGCCACTCCACTGGTGGCCCGGCCCAACACTTCCTCAAAGTGCCCCTCCACTCCCCTGGGTGCGGGAGCAGGGCTGGGGAGAGTTCTGCAGATGTGGGCATTAAGCCGGGGCTTTATTACCCTGTTGTTTGGTAAAACATTAACCCTCTGGCTCTGATCTCTTTCTGCCTTGTAGAACAGCATGATACCAACAGGCTTGACGTGGGAGGAAATGTTGTACCCTTTATACCAAAAGTATAAAAACTACATTACATGGGGAGACCAGGACTTGCTAAATATTATTTTTTACTTTAACCCAGGTAGGTAATGATTCCTGTTAGTCTCACGCTTCTCTCATAGCAAATGACGGGCTAGACCTGGTGTAATCCAGTCGTGGGGTGGTTCGTATTGAAACACGTACATGAGATTGAATTCTGGCCTGAAATGAATAACCTAAGGAAGTGGTGGGACTCTGCACCCTGCAGGCCACATCTGGCCCATTGGGGTTCCATGCATTCCCATTCTGACCCCCTCCCCTATACCTCTTGCACATGGGGGGCCCCGCACTAACCTACTTCTTCCCCTTCCTCCCAGCATTTCCGGAGCATCGTGAATCAGCTGATTCAAAGTGTTTAAGCTTGAGAAGAAGGAGCAGGGATGGGGTGCGTCAACCAATTTAACGGGGCTCAGGAAGTGCTGGGAGGGAGAGGGAGGAGCAGGGATGGGACACACTTGGGTGAGGAGGCAAGGAAGAGGCAGACTGAGATTTTATGATGTACAGGCAGTCCCCGACTTACGCGGATCCGACTTATGTCGGATCCGCACTTACGAACGGAGCTTTCTCGCCCCGGAAGTCGGGGCGAGAAAGCCCCGTTCGTAAGCTGCTCCGGTGCCCCTGGTCTGCTGGAGACCGTCTCCAGCAGACCAGGGGCACCGGGCGGGTTCCCGCGCTTCTGAGGCTTTGCCAGCAGACCACAGGCACCCAGATTGAAGCGGCAGCAGCGGCGGTTCCCCGCGCCTCTGAGGCTTTGCTTGTGTGACTTCTTGCTGGCCAGAGTGGCAGCTGAAGTGTTTGTTGTGATAGAGGATGGACCCCAGACTTGGGCTGTAAGTAGCCTTATTTCTAAGCAATTCACCCTGATTTGGCCCTCTCAGTGGTGCTCCCAGACCCGGTTATATTACACATGTTCAGTGTAGGAAAGCATCCGAATGTTTTTGCACCAAACACCTCAGAAAGAAGTATTAGGCCAAACACCGGCAAAGGCTTTCTTAACACACTGACATTGACTTCAGTAGGATGCCTGATAGTACATCAGATTAAGCTAACAAATAAATCTTTGAAGGCTTTGGGTTTCGAGCTTCATATTCATCTTAGTGCATACACGTTTTAATTCAAAATGGGGGTCCTCGAGTTGCTAAAGTTCAAGAACTACTGCTCTAGGCTATAGAGGGTTCAAGAAGGTGTCTAATGGTGTCTGTGTTAGTGCCCCAGACATTTTAGGATAACTCAGCTGAAAAACAAAACCACCTTTACCTTCTTGCTTAGACAGGGCTATAGACAAGATGGAAATTCTTTGAATCTACACCAATGTCACTGGAAGGTTTGGGTCAATGGAGCTATGTAAAGTTTAACAGGATTCTCTCATTTTCTCTCCCAGTAGTTAGACCAGGCTTTTGTTTTGGACTCTGGGGCAGAGCAGCTGGGGCGCTGCCGATTGGTCCTGCAGCGCCCGTGGGCACTACTGGACCAACCCGGCAGCACCCCAGCTGCTCTGCCCCAGGTCCTGATTCAGCCGCTGCTGGTCAGTTTCAGTTGCTCTGCCCCGGGCTTCCTGGAATCAGCTGCTGATCAGTTTCAGCAGCAGCTGACTTGGGGACGCCTGGGGTTCTTAAGTTGATTCTGTATGTAAGTCAGAACTGGCGGTCAGTTTCAGCAGTGTCTGAATCTGGACGCCAGTTCCGACTTACATACAGATTCAACTTAAGAACAAACCTACAGTCCCTATCTTGTATGTAACCCGGGGACTGCCTGTATTGTAAAGGAAGTGTTATTTCAAGTAGATAACAGTTCTATTAATATATGAATGGTTGAAGCATTTCCATTTGTTCTGAAGGATGCAGCATGCCATGTGTTCGTGTATTTCATCTTATTCCTGGGGTCATGGCTAGTGCACATGCCTGATTCCAGTCTCATGGCCCACTGAGATGAAGAGCCACTCATGTGGCCCACTCATTAGCTTTGGTTGCCCATCCTAAACTGCAGTCAGGTATACACATGGGATTTATACCCACTGGGACTACTCTGGGACATAAGGGATGGAGCCAAGTTCCTGTGCAGAAGTCTATTTATATTCTCTAAAGAGTCTGGAAAATGGAGAAGAGTTTTCTGGGCATGGTACTATCTGCAGGCTGAATCCTGAGTTGAAGTTAGTCACGCACATACTTACATGCTTTGCTGCTTTGGAGCCTAGCTAAGCGACATTTTTGTCTTCCAATTCATGGATGTTTATCTGAATCTGACATTGCCCGCCTTTGTCCAAATCCACAGCTACTTCCTGACGTTCAGCTCAATCCCAAAATTGATTAAAGGGCTGACCGTGTCAAAGCTGATAGAGGCAACTGCTCTGAAAACAGCATTTAAAACCCTTTTTTCTCCCTTGAAAAATGTCTTCCCTTTCCAACCCTGAGCAAAAAGCCAGACCTTCCAGACAGACATTGTGCTGGTTCTTTGGCTGAGTTACCCAGCCCAGTAACCTCAGGATGTTCAGATCATTTGTATTCCCAAATGCGTTGCATTCTGTGCTCTCCTTTTTTCCTGCCTGCTCTGGGCCTGTGAACAGGAAGGAAAGGAAAACCCTACAAGACCATTTGTTATTAGAGAGCAAATTTGATATCCCACTTGCCTAAGAGAGTAGATAAAACAAGCAGAGGGACAGTGTAAGCTACAAACGCAGGCCACAAACCCAAACAAAACAGCATATTTGTTTCTGACTCATGCCCACCAGCCTGGCACAGGGTCTTTTTAAGCAGCTTACTTTATTTTTGGCTTTTCCCCTAGTTCGTCTTGAATGTAGGTCTTAATCACAAAGCTGCTGTATGTTTAGAAGTGGCTAGTGATTTTTGGCTTCCTCAATTTTAAAGGGGTCTGAATTTCAAAAAGGTGCTAGGCACCCTCCTGTGAAATCAGGCCCCTTGAAAAGGCCTCATGTTGGTCTCGGACTTTTCCACAATCATGTCTCAGTTTTGAAAACTTAGTCTGAAGTTCTGTGGCAGGGTCCCTGCTATGGATGTTAAATTGCAGCTATATGACTAATCGTGTAGTCGATACAATTTGTATCGACTACACGATTCGTTGATAAGGACCTCTCTGCAGAGTCATAGCAGGGTTAACTCCAGGAGCCGGGATTGAGCAGTCCCGGCTCATGCTGGCTCCAGGAGCCACCTTTGCTGCGGCTCTGCATTCTAAAGGTAGGAAGAACCACCTTTGCTGCGGCTCTGCATTCTAAAGGATTTGGACTGGGGCTCTTGATACATTTAAAATGCAGAGGTGCAGCATCCTGGACCAGCATGAGCTGGGACTGCTCAGTCCTGGCTCATGCTGAGTCCAGCAGCCCCTGTTCGCGGCGGCCCACCCTGCTGGAGCAGCCTTAGCCCACTGTGTGCCTCGGCAGCTGCAGGCAGCGGCTTCTTCGCAGCAGCTTCCTCCACCCCCCACTGCCTGTGATAGAAGCAGTGGAGAGAGGAGGAGGCAGTACTGTGGAGCTTGTGCTTGGCCAGCACTGGTTCCTGTCCCGCTCCTCCCTTGCAGCGAGTAGTCGATATTCCAGTCGACTACCTGGTAAGTACAAGCTTATTGGGGTTGTCGCCTAGTCAACCACTCGCTAACCTAGTCCCTGCTCACTTGAAGAATTTGAGGCCTTTTTTCTGGACCTACACCATCATGCTGGTATGCCAGTCTGACCTGCTTTGACTCTTCCCCCTTGTTCCCTAGCATGATCTGGAGCACAGCATGAATATGGAAGAACTTTTATTCTGTTCCTTTTTGTCAGTCTATCAAATTGTCAGGCAAGCGACAAGGGCTATAATAAAATCCAAACAAAAATCAGAAAGTCGAAACAGGGGAAATGCAATACAGTAAAACAACTGTTATGGCAACAGATATTTAATGCAGATAAATGTCAAGGCAGAGATATGTAGTAAATGTCTGGTCATTCTCACTGGGGCACCTGGCATTGGCCACTGTCAGAAGAAAGGATACTAAGCTAGATGGACCTTTAGTCTGACCCAGTCTGGGTGTTTTTATGCTCTTATGTCCCCAATTAATGTTTTGGTTGCACAAGTAATAGCCTCATAATCCTAGAAAAAGGCTAATGTCGCAGAGTTCAAAATCTGCATACTCCTCATTATTAAATGTTATAATAATTTCCAAAAAGAAACCGACATTTTGGGCAATACAGCCTTGTGCTGCAGTTTGTGGGGAAGGAAAGAAGACAAAGCTAGTTCAGACTCGCAATGATCCTTTATCGTGGGGGAGAAAATGGAGAAACCACTTGAATTCTGGGACTAGCAAAGTCCTGATTAGTTCCACATGTGAATATTGCTTTTCATTTCATAGGCCCTGTGTTTTCTTCACATCTGGTAAATATGCTCACAGGAACTATTTGGTATTTTCAGCCTTTCAGAACAAACAACAAAACTTTCCTTTCCATTGCCAATTTAGAAAGCCCTATTACAAAGGGCTATCAATTTAAAAACAGAGAAATTAGAGGACAATTAAATTATCTAGTCCCATCCCCTGCAGCTTTTCCAGTGAATTAGCCAGGCATATACCTAGCCATTTTATCTGGGCAAGTATAACCTCGGTCTCCTGAAATAACCCAGCCATGCAAAAGAAACCAAATCCAATCCGATAACCCTTGCACCCCCCAGGCAGCTCTGATATTAATAGACTTGAAGGAGTGACTCTAATCAGCACCTCATTGAGTGCTGAGACAGTGGAGGGGTGGGAGAGAGGAGAATGGGTAAACGCTACATGTGAAAGCTTAATGCAGTATGGTGCTTTGTTCAAGGGATGCCAATATCCATGCCAGAAGTTAATCGGTTAAATGACATAATTGTAATTGTTTAACCAGTGAACTGTGCAGCTGAGGAGTGGGGGTGGGGACTGCTTAGGTCAGGATTCTGCCAGCCGGGGTGCAGTAGGCAGGGGGGCTGTTCCCCCTGCTCGGCCCCCTGTTAACTGGTTACTAAGCAAGCATGCCGGTACGGCTAATGCTTAATGGTTAACCTTTAACCTTTTATATCCCTATCTTGTTCAGTATTAACGGCCAGGCGGGGAGGGAGGGTTTATGCTTGTGCAGAATGCTGAGTACTGGCATCATTCTGATAGAGCCCTTGTTCTAGAGCTCATTGTATCCAGTGGAAAGACCCCCATTGGCATTAAGGACCTGAATCCAAACCCATTGCAGCTTCCACTGATTCTAGCATGGATGGAGCTAAGCATGAGAAATGTCGTGCTGAACTGAAGGAGCTTGGAGAGAGGCCATCACGGCCACCTCCTGCATTGTGGGAGGTCAAAGTACTTCTGCTTCCCCCTGCATGAACGCACACAAGGGCCAGTTGCAGCTGTACTGGGCAGGATGAGTGGAGGCCCAGGGAAGGCCAAATGAAAGAGTCATTCTTCAGTGCTTATGGTTCAGCCATGATTCTGCTGTCACGGAGCCGCAGCCAGTGAGTGCTTCATTCTCTGGCTGGGAGGTGACCTCCCGGACTTGTCATGAGTGTGCCTAGCATGCTGTGGGTGCTGGGACTGTACAGAGTCAATTGAGAGAACAGGAATAACATAAGCCTGTTCCTACGACACTTTGCAAGGCAGTAGCTGGCTTTGGGACTCCATCTGGAACTGCATCGCTCGCAGACAGAAGGGCTTAGAAACAAGAAGAGTGGTTCTGTGCATACAGCGTGCGCTGTGTGCTAGTGACCACACAGATCCCCGTGGAAATAAACCATCTCATTGTATGCTCTGGGAATCCATGGTGCAACAAATGGCCTTCATCAGGCTTGGCAAGTCAGCAGCCTAGGTGAGAGTTTCAGTGGGAAGCATGGAAATAGTTGGAAAGCTTTGTCGTGCTGCACCAGTTGGAGTCCAATTCAGCCAACCACTGCAAGTCTGCCTTCAAGTGGGATGTAGGTGACGGTGGCTTGCACGGCCTCCCTCTCATTGCGTAGCTTGCCTGTACACAGACATGGCTAGAGAGGATGCTGGACCTCAGGCACGGGGCCAAATCTCCAGTGGTAACAATCCCTAGGCCCTTAATGGTGGGACTCTGTCATTTCCTGAAGAAACCTGGGTTAGAATGCTAGGCTCTCTTCCCTGAGCCACTACCAACAAAATGACTGACAACCTTCCTGACTAAAACCATGAGCAGTCCTGTCGCACCTCAGAAATAAATAAATATGGTATCGTGAGCTTTCGTGGGCAGAGCCCACTTCTTCAGATGAGCAGAGTGGAGAGAAGAGGGGGAATCTCAAAATTTATAACAAAGGGTTCCCCCTTTTCTCTCCACTCTGCTCATCTGAGGAAGTGGGTTTTGCCTAAGGTGCTGCAGAACTACTCATTGTTTTTAAAGCTACAGATGAACGCAGCTATCGCTCGGAAACCTTCCTGACTGACAGTCCGCTTGTGGTAATCGTTGAGTTCAATCTCTTTCTCTCTCTCTCTCATTGATCTTGCCAGAGTGTCTCTATGTGTTTCCCTGTCAGTGGAACTACCGGCCTGACCACTGTATGTATGGGAGTAACTGTAAAGGCGCAGAAGAGGAAGGTATATCGGTTCTGCATGGTAACAGAGGGGTCTACCATGACGACAAGCAGCCTACTTTTAAGGCACTCTATGAAGTGATACGTGATGTAAGTGTTTTGCTTTCTGGTGTTTTTTATTTGGGAGAAAGTAGTGCAAGATCTTATGGCAGAGTGCTCCATGGACTGAGTAGATCAAGTTTGAGGTAGGGATGTTATGTTGCGGTTAATCAGCTAATTGAGTAGTCTGTGGAATTTCCATCGAGTACTCGCTTAGTTGATAAGGGGGGAGGGCACTGGCTACCACCACTGCGGCTCTGCAATTTAAAAGTAGTTGAAGCCAGGCATGCAGCAGGGTTAACGGGCATGTCTAAGGACTAAACAGTCCCAGCTTGCACCGGCCTCAGGAGCTAATCCTGCTGCGGCTCTGCGTTTTAAATATATTTTAATGCATTTTAAATGTGTTTTAAATTTAAAATGCAGAGTTGCAGTGGGGCTTGTTCCTGAGGTTGGTGCGAACCGGAACTGAACAGTCCTGGCTCATGCCAGCTCCGGGACACTGCAGCTCTGCCTCCCATCCCCCCGCACTGTGGAGATGGTGCTGGGGGGAACTGGCTCCTGCTTCCCACCCTCCCCAGACACAGAGGCAGCGGGGTGGGGGTGGGATGGGGGAAGCAAGTATTGACTTGACTACCCGATGTACTTATTGGGTAGTCAAGTCAATTACTCATTTCCCCCGCCCCCCACCCGGTGCTGCCTCTGACATTTATGCTTATCGGGTAGTTGACTACTCCCTTACATCCCTAGTCTGAGGCTACGGGTCCTGTATACATACACATTGTTCACAAAACTGTGCTGGTCTCCTCCATCTTACAAAGTGTGTGCACAAAGGTTGATTGAAACTTTCATCCTCGGTGTTAAACTTCAAACACTAAGGCCTGGTAAACTGCTTCTCTAGGGTACCAATGGAAACAGGGCTTTGAATGAGCTGGCTCTTACATCCTTAGCTATGGCATTAGAACAGACTCCAGAACTGTCCTAAAGAGCCTGATCCTGGCAAGGGCTGAGCACTCTCAAATGCTCTGTACCTTCAAGTGAATGCACGGTGCTCAGCACCTTGTACAAGTTGTCCCTTGTTTCCCCTCGATGGGATGGAATTCTAAGGTCAGCTGCTGAGCTGGGGGTTTTGCTAAGTGTTTCAGGGATTCTCTTTGTTTCTTCTTGAGAAGCTGGATTTAGTTCTCTTCCCGTATTCGTTAACTAGAAGATTTACCTGGCGTTGCTCAGGTCCTTAACTCAGATGAGTTTTATTTTTCTTCATTTAAATCATTGCTCTGGGGTGGGGTTGGAGCGGGGAAGGGGAGGTTCGGTATACAAGCTGCCCCAGGGGGAGAGAACAACCCCAGCCCTCTCTCACCGCAGTAGCTTGTGGCCAGGTGAGAAGTGCCTCTCCATGGTCACTGCAGCTCCAGTGGGCACAACCAGAGGGGAAGTGCAAGTCCCCTGGCTGAGGGACAAACACACAGACAGACAAATTCTCTGAAATATATAGTAGATAGCTGTCCGTTTCTCCACCCCTGCTGGCCCAGTGAGGTTATAGATGTCTCAGTCCCCATCTCTGGCCCCTTGCTGTCCCCCTGTGGTCATTCTGCAATACCACTCCCTTCTACCTGACTCCTCCATTTTCATTTTATGAGAAACAATCAAATTCCAGGCATGTCCCGTTGTCCTGGCACAACGTAATCCTGACCTTGCTTTAAGTTAGATTGAGAGGAAGCTGCAAACCAAATTTGGTGGTGCTAGCACTTACTGTTTAGGAGGAGTTCCTGAACAAACTGACTCATAGACAGACAGATGCACGTGTCTAAAAATATATAATATGGGACCTATGTGTAAGTTGCATAAGCACAGCAAAAAACCTCCAGTTACTCTGGCTTCCTGCTACTTAGCAGGCTGACTATAAGTGTCATGGTCTCATGTAGCAACAGGTCCACATACGGGATAACAGCCTACTAATGCAGCTAATTAATGAAGTTATTCCTAGCACAAGTGGCATAGGCTTGTGCTTAATGAGCTGAAGTCCCTGGTTTAGGTTTCGGCTGCTGACCCCAATTGGGGATTTTTACAGCGGCCTATCATTCTACAACATAGTATTCTGTAGTGTATCAAAGATTGGAATAGAGCTGCCTCAGACTTCTCAGTGGAAGAAAGATTTCCATCAATGAGCATAAGAAAATGCATGGCCCCAGTTGTATTTCCCCCTAGTCTAGGCTTTAAATATGTGATTTCTGAGAAGCTGGCTGTGCCACACAACATGGCTGGGCAGAGCTTTCTGAAAGCTCACAGTCTCAAATGGATTTGACAAGTGGTTTCAGTGCATCAGAAGTCAGTGGAGACTCAGGAGCAATCCAGTGCCAATTTGTATAGGACCAGTTTATGGGCTGAATAGTGGCCCTGTGGGAATTGAGGATGTTTAGCTCCCTGGGAATATCTCCTAACTAAAAGTCGTTTTAAATTTTCAAATGTTATTTACAGCTACTAAAAATAATCAGTTCTCTTCTCTGGTTTCCTTCCCTTTCAGTTTCCCTTTGAAGACAATCTCTTCCAGTCCTTGTTCTACCCTCTTCAGTCTAAGTTTCTGGATACTGTGCACACTTTATGTGGGCGAATTCCACAAGTTTTTCTGAAGCAGATTGAGAAAACAATGAAGAAGGCTTACGAAAATCGTGTCATTGTTCGTTTGGGAGTCAATTATCGATACTGAACATTGCTAAATTTTATGTGGTCTTTTTCATCCTTGTATCCAAATATTGGGAGGCAGATGAAATGAAGGTTAGTTTAAGATTCATGTTAGAAACAAACCATTGTCTAAATTGGAACAATTAACCAAGGATCACAGTCAGTGTTTCCTCTAATCTTTTCCTTCCACGTGCGGAATACATTTTAATATGTACGATGGCATGTGCAAATGTGCACCACCAGTAGGAACAGAACATCGAGCTGTGGGCATTTTGCTAATCAGCGGGGTGGCAATTGAATCTCTCCTGAGCCACACAAGCTAAAGGCCACACAAGCTTGCAGTGAATTCGGATCATGGTGGATTCTGCATCGCTGATCACTTTTAAATCAAGCGTGGGTCTTTTTCTGAAAGATCTGCTCTAGGAATTATTGTAGAAAAGTTCTGTGGCCTGTATTATACAGGGAGGTGTGAGTAGATGATCACAATGTTCTGTTCCAGCCTTGGAATTCATGAATTTATCTGTTATGTTAAAAACTCCTTAAATTATTAAAACAGAATTTTAAAAATCCATGAAAATTGCCACTGCTCATGCTCTTTGTTCACGTTCTGCATTTCTCTCAGCTTGAGCAAGGAGAACCAATGGTTTGATTGTCACTAGTATGAGTTACATGTTTTTAGTTGTGCCCTGTTTAAGTTTAAACACTTCAGGAGGAGTGTATTTGTTTAAAAACAAATGTTTTCATTGGCAGTGTTTTTAAGTTGTTGAATTATCGCTATAATATTTTATAAAGGGTTTTTTTTTCATTCTGCCAGATTTAAATTTGGGTCTAGATATAAATTGACATCATCACTGACTTAAAAATAGATGTTCAAATCATCATGACAAGGTAGGTTAAAAATGACTGTGTGAAAGGGAAACCATCTGCTTAAAAATCATTGAAAGGTGGGGGGGGGGGAGACTGTTTACTTCGTGCATTTGACAGCACTTTGTATCTAGTGAGTATTATTGTTCCTGAGGTTGAGTTTCCCTGTTTTGTGTGGGCCTTTCACACAGCAACAGGAAGGAGACCCATTAAAGCCACTAAGAACAACATATGCACAGATATTGGGAGAGGGCTGTGGAGATAAGTACATACCTGAAACTTTGTGTGAAATTGCCTAGATTTTAAGTGTCTGTTTTTAAATTCCCCTCTGTGTTTTAAATGCATTACCTTTTCTTGCTATTATGTGGATTTAATTATGTTAAAAATAGGCCAAGAACATTGTGAATGAACTGTAGGAAAATAGGTACTATTGATCTGTTTTCCTCATTAACCTTCTTTTAATTGCTATTTACTGCTTGGGAATAATTCTGTACCACCGAGAACCTTTCTTCCAGCCAAGCATGACTGGGAGACTGAGATTGGATTGTTGCATGTGACTGTTTTTCCAGTATGCCAGAAATCCACTTGGTTCTTGGACATAAAAAAATAAAATCCACATCTTTGCTTGGCACTTTCATCCCTTGAAGTTCACTATCTGTGTAGGATTTTAACTAATAGCCTCAAAGTGGAATGGGCTACAAGATGGGTTTGATTATTGTTTTACTTAAAATATCTAATTTAGGTTAGATTTCAAAAGAATGTTCATGTTGTAAGTAATTAGAAGGTTACAGACAGTGTTAACACAGCTCATTAAAATTTGCAATAGTTAAGATGCTGAGAAGAAGCTGTTGGAAATCTGAAACTAAGGAAACTGTAAGGCCTTGTCTATATTTACCAGGAGGTCGGTGCTGCAGAGATTGATCTCCTGGGCTCAATTTAGTGAATCTAGTAAAGACTAAATCGACCACTGATTGTGCTCCTGTCGACTCCAGTACTCCACCGGTTTGAGAAGAGTAAGGGGAGTCAACAGGAGAGGTTCTCCCGTTGACTCCCTGCAGTGGTAACATGAATTAAGGTATGTTGACCTAGCTACACTATTCACATAGCTGGTGTTGCGTACCTTAGTTTGATATTGCCTCCTAGCATAGACCTGGCCTAAGTTAAAATCTTGAGGGATGTATACAGCTGAAGGGTGGTTTTGTTCAGCATGTGGAAGGCAACTGAATAGAAGTCCTTACCTTATCTGTTCATCTGAAAAAATCAGCCATCACTTGGAACTCTCTCTTAAGTGTAGTACACAAGGAGTTGAGGGTGAACTATTCTGTAATGAGCCAGTTGCTATGGACTGCACTGTACTATGCATGTAATAGCAGTGCTTTTCCAGACATACCTACTTACCTTGCGTGGCTGGTGAGTGTAAAGGGCAGATCATTTTAATAAGACTCTAGAAGCTCAAGACAGCCAGCAGTGTTGGTATTGCTGCCTTCACCACTCATGATTGATAGTTTTGCAAGGGAACTGGTGCCAACCGAAAATCCTTATGTTTGTCCCTATTCTCCAGTAACAGCAGACTGTCTGTCTCTCTCTTTCTCTTTGCCTAATCAGAATGGTTGACACAAATGTGCCTAAATATAATACCTGGCTAGGGAAGAGGAAGACCTGAAGTTTGCTGGCAGCTAACACTGCCAAATGGGCAGGTTGTACACAGTGGTAAGTGTCTGTGGAAACCTTTCACAAATACCTGGGGTGTGAAAACATGTGACACATCTGTAGGCATATCCGCTTAATGTCCTGACCTCACCAAAGTCAGTGATTTCACCCCAGGGCTGGACTAGTCTTTAGAAGAGACACAACAGACAAAAGAGCAGTTCTTGGACACGGACACGCACGCACACACACGCACCGTGTACCTTTGACTCATGACGCGCACACACACGCACACACACGCACCGTGTACCTTTCTGGCTCTCATATGCACATTATCTCATACTCTTATGATATAAGAGATCAAAGTACCTTAACTAGCAATGGACAGAAGCGGGCATTCTAAACAGTCATGCACTCATCACTCTTACGAGGACCAGAAAGGCATTTAAACCTATGTAGTGCAGTCGTGGAATATTTAATTTTAATTCCTGGAGGCAGGCGAAGTCTTCAGAACTTGAGTTTTCATTTAAAAAAAAAAAGGAAGTTTTTGGCCCTGGTGATTGCAGAAACGAGCTTGAAAACGTGACCTGAGTGCACCGCAACTACTTAAAAGCTAGACAACAAATAAAATGACCCTGAAGTGCTTTCTCTCAAAAGCTTCATGGAACGTATTTTAAATATATCCTCATGCTGTCTCTGAGCTTAAGTCATGATTTGGGGTTGGCAATAGTGCACACTTAAGAAATAGTTTTATTCTTCCTATGTCAGGATAAAGCAGCCTGTCTGTAGGTTATATTGTGTTAGATTTGATGTCTTCTAAGCATTTATAAATTGTTCATCTCTGGTATTAGCAGCCTGTCTGTAGGTTATATTGTGTTAGCTTTGATGTCTTCTGAGCATTTATAAATTGCTCATCTCTGGTATCTACAAGCTACAGAAGTTAGTAGAGCAAAAGTCTTCTTGCTCAGAACTTGAAACTCTGGATTTTAGAACAGTTGGGCTCCTCATATTGCAGTAAAGTTGCTAACTGTCAGACGCTTCTTAGGCTTTGATTATGTTCATTATGATGCAATAGAACTGGAAACCATGAAGACGTTTGTAATGAAGGAATCAAATAAGATACTCTAGTTAATTATGAAATAAAGGCATTATTACTTAAACTTTATTCGGTATTTAAACTGTTTACAGGAGGTGCTATATTTTTATAAAGAATAATGTTATAGTAACAGTAGAGTAAGGCATAAGAAATACGCATTTTAATGTGAAAATAACTTTCAGTATAATCTCCAGGCAATTTATGCAGGAAAAAGTAATTTTTTTGTAAAGTGCTTTTCTGAAAAAATTAATTGAACTGTAATTTGAAAACATCAAAGCCTTTTTTAAAAGTGGCGTCATTTTGTTTGTTCTCATTCCAACTAGAATTATTAATTTATATTTTATTACTGCTTTCAAAAACATATTATGTCTTAATTTCAACAGCAGTTGGTTTTAATATTAAGCTTACTTTAATCATATTCCATATTCATGGCTAATTACTTGTAAATTACCCTCATTTACTTTAATAATGGTAAATAATTATCTAAGATTTATATTTGTTTCTCCCCCTCATATGTACTATTACTTATTAAGTTTAAAAAAAAAAAAAAAGCCAGCAAACCTCCCACATTGTTCATGTACCACACTAAACAATTACACCATAATGTATGGTGTACTAAAAGAGGAAACACAAATGTAGTTATCTATAAATGAATACAGATTCCTTCTTTAGCACATTCAGAGTGTTGGTAATCCATATTTCATGAAGAAAAATTAATCTGCTGCATTCAGAACAGTGTGGTCTGATACAGCCTAAGGAACCGACTCCTAGTTAATTGAACGCAGGCTGTGATCCTGCAAAGTCTTACTCACGTGCTTAAACTTTTCACACGGTGAGTAGCCCCACTGCAGACCAGGGAACTACTCACCTGTGCCTAAGGGCATGTCTTCACAACAGGCTGGACTGATAGGCAGCAATCCATCCAGCAGAGGTCAATTTATCATGTCTAGTATAGATGCAATAAACCGATTGCTGAGCACTCTCCTGATGACTCCAGTGTTTCACCAAAACAAGAAGAATAAGCCAAGTCAACAGGAGAGCATCAGCTGTCGACGTGCCCTGGTGAAAATACTGTGGTAAGCACACCAAAGTACATCAACTTCAGCTACATGAGTCATGTAACTAAAGTTGTATAACTTAGGTCGACGGCCCACAGTAGTGTAGATAAGGCCTATGTCTTGGAATGATCAAGGCTGTAAAAGCACATTTCCAGGTTTTAAATTTTCAGTGTTGTACTTGAACTTGTTAAAATTAGACACATAAGGGCCTGACACTGAGAGGTGCTGAGCACTTCCTTTCAGCCCTAAGCCCATTAAGGAAGTGTCAGAATAACAATACTCATTATACAGTGAGTAACTGCCAAGCGGGGAGGCATTTGTTTGTAACATTTTTATAATGTGTGGCTATTTGGCTGCACCATTTTGCTGTAATTTCTTTTTCTTTACAGGTGGAAACTGGATAACATTTTGGGATATGGGTGTGCATGTATGAGTGTGTGTGTATGTGTGTTTGCAAAGAATTATGATCAATTTCTGTATCATTTAAATGCTTGTATATTTCTATCTGACAAGTGCACCAATTGTTTATAGCTCCCAAGGAGGCATTCCAGTGCATTTCTATGTTTAAGATTCTTTGGCTTACAGTATAAATAAATACACTTTTAAGCAGACTTCGTGTTTTCATGGTTGTTGGTTTTTTTTGTTTTTTTAATCAGAACAGAGTGAAAGGATCCTAGTAATAGGTCTCGTTACTTTAAGAACCATATTTTGCCCTGACCTCCTAAATGCACAACACAATGGAGGTTTGGCAATTGCTGAGTGTGGTTAAGCAGTTCTGAATTAGACTGTTCTGAAGATGTTGCACATTAAACATAAATGATCATTTTCTGTTATACTGTTTTGAAGTACAAAACTTTATTTTTCCATAATGATTTAAGATTAGATTGTAAAACTTTGGGTTTTTTTTAAATTCCATTCTGTGGAATTTTTAACATTTAGCAATGAAAATATAATCCAGAATGTTCCAGATCAAACTGTTCTCCTAGTACATCTATGTACCAGATACACCCACAGAACTGCACCCTCTTTCACCAACAATGAATTTGGCTCTTTGATGTCAGAAGTCTGTATTTGCGTAACTGATGGCATAGTGGGCACTAATCTTTATACCTCCCCCAGGTTTATTTCAGTCATCCTTTCTTGGCGAGCTAGTTTATATAAAATTGACATCAGAGCTCTGAGCTTTCTCTTGAATACATTTGTGCCTTTGTAAATTCATTACTATGATTTGTGTGCCTTTAAAGATCTTACCTGTTCAAGATAAATGGCATGTGCAACGATCGAGCCTAAAGAGAAATTGGTCCTCTTTCTGTCATGGGTGGTTGGTGAAGGTAGGGCTGGGGGAGGCTAGCCCCCATCCTCATCCCCACCTCTTCTGCTGAGGCTCTGCCAGCCATGGGAGCCAAGCTGCCTCCCCGCCCCCTTCACCATGGAGAGAGAAGAGGTGGGCACATGTGAATCCAGTCTCCCTGGCCCTGGAGCAGGAGGAGGGCGGGTGGCCCCAGCCTCCCCACCCCCAGAGCAGAGGGAGGGAGAGTGGCTTGTAGCTCCAGCCACCCCAGAGCACGGGGAGGGTGGCGGGTGGTGCATGGATATAGACTCCCTGGCCACAAGCACTGGGGGCAGCAACACTCTATCCCCAGAACACCTACAGCAGCATTCCGGGGGCAGAGTGGGGCCAGGCTGGCAGTTTGGGAAGGCTGTGCCTTCCCCCTCCTATTATTCCGGATGCTCTTCATACTCATTAAATTCAACAAAGAAATTTGGGCCTATCACAGCAGAATAATAAATAAATATGGCTACTGAAAAGGACAAAATACGTGAATTTCCTTCATAACGACAAGTGCTTCTGTTCCTTACTCACTTGACTTACAGTGGTGTAACAGAAGACTCTGACCCAATATGTGTGTTATATAATACAGGCAGTCCCCGGGTTACGTACAAGATAGGGACTATAGGTTTGTTCTTAAGTTGAATTTGTATGTAAGTCAGAACTGGCTCCAGATTGAGCAGCTGCTGCTGAAACTGACCAGGGGCTGAGTACAGGAAGCTGGAGG